TGTGATCTCCTCCTCTCCCGAGAGTTCGTTATTGGTGGAAAATGATCGGTTCCACTTTGGGTCCATTAGGCTTTCTTCACGCTCCTCATTCCGCCAATCTTGTGGTGAGCTGGACCACCAGTCGTATGTTCTGTTTGCATTTTCTGACATCTCGATTCTTGAGTCTGTTTTTTCTATTTTTTTCGGTACTGGTCGTTTTTTTATTTTGCAATTATTTAAGACTGACTGTTTGCTGGGTTGATTTGACGAAAGAGTGATTTGTTTCTGTTGAACTGTTGTGTTCAGCTGTTTTTGCAGTCGTGGAAACTGTTTTCTCTCGTTCCGGTCGAGCTTTGTTCGGTTTTGACCGTTTTGGTTGCTATAGCAACCATTACTTGATGACTGTTTCCTAACATTCCTTCTAGAACATTCTAGAACGTTTTCGTTCCGGTTGAGCGACCTTGAATCTTTAAGCCTACTGTTCCAGCAGTCGAACGCTTCATGAAAAGAGTTTATTGTCGCTACTACAAACTTTTCGTCTAATTCTGATTCGGGCCAGGGATCATTGAAAGGATCACGCGATAAATAATCAACTATGCCCATGTCCCTCCCCGGAATGTGAACTATGTTGAACTGATACGGCAGTAACCGGTCAACCCACCGGGTTAAGCGTGATTGGTAGGTCTTGTTCGATTGATTAACATCCAATGCTGTTGTAAGCGCTTTATGGTCAGTTGCGATGGTAAATGGTTTCCCCAGAAGGTAGTGTTTATATCTATCTACTGCCCAAACAACTGCCAATAATTCCAACTCATTTGTTGAATATTTTTTTTCTTGAGCATTTAGGTATCGGGATGCGAACGAAATTGGGACCCACAACCCTTCATCATTTTGTTGTTCTAAAGTGGACCCTAGTCCATCATGGCTAGCATCGCATTTAACTCGTGTTTCACGATTTGCATCGTAATAATGCACTTTCGTAATATTCGCCACAGCTCCTTTGATAGCATTAAATGCTTCTGTGTGAACATCCCCCCACTCGAATTTTTTCACCGGGAGTTTCATGTTTTTTAACTTTTTCTTTTGATTTTCTTCTTTAAGAAGTGGTCTTAATTTTTCTGTCAGACTTGCTACGTTAGGTATAAATTTAGCTAAATGATTTATGCTTCCTAGAAATGACCTTAGTTGTTTTAGGGATTTCGGCGGGTTCAAGTTTACTACCGCTTCCGTTTTAGTGATCTTCGGTCTAACCCCTTCTTCTGAGAGATGATGACCCAACCAATTCACTTCTTGTTTGAAAAATTCACATTTTGATAGTTTCAGTGCCAAGTTTTCCGCATCCAATTTCTTTAATACTGCTTCTACTAGGTTGGCATGTTCGATTTCACTTCCCTTTGACACAATAAGTATGTCATCCAGAAAACAGAACGTGTTTTTAGCGTGATTGATGGTTCTATCCATAGCCTTTTGAAATTCAGCTGGCATATCTGCTAGTCCGTAGAATCCTGTCAAGAATCTGTAAGTTCCGGTTGCTTTTCCGCCCACAATGTTAAAGTTGCATTGCCTAGCTGTATCCGCAGCCAATTTTAGTTGACTGTACGCATATTTCAAATCTAACACCGAAAAATATAGCGTACCCTTTTTGTTTTCAGTTACAATCTGGCTTACCCCATCAATAAGTTCATCTACATTCGGCATTTGTTTTTGAACAATTGTCTATTGATTGGTTTCGCGTCCATTGCCAATTTTATTTAGTCGTCCTTCTTTACTGTTATCACAATCGGGGCGATAAAGCAATCACTTGTACACTTATCAAGTTTTGTTATATGACCTTCTGTCAATAACTTCTCGATTTCTTTTTCGACTTTATCTTGTATATGAATTGGGATTCTTCTCCCCTTTTCTTGTATCGGACATAGTGGGTATTTGAATTTTGAACTGACGATGTGGTTTTTAGAAATGCCTTGCCTTTCAAATAAGTTCTTAAATTTATTTAAAAATTTTTCTTTCCAACCTTCCGACTGCTCGCACATGAGCACGTCAAACCTGGTGAGTTCTTTTGGCGCTTTTCTTTGTGTAGTCACTATTCCCACTTGTCCTTGCAAGTCTAATCCCATGATGCATCTAGTTTTTCGCTCTGATACCAGAAAGGTTGCGCCCTTAACTTCCCAGCCCGCTGACCTCAGATTGGTTTTTAGGGCTCCCAGGATACTGATCGGTTGTTTGTTGTAGTCCACAAATTTTGTTTGTAAGTTCAATTTGTCAGACGGTATGAATCTCACTTTGTTTGATTTTTCCATGATTTCTTTCGTCGTTGCCCAGTTAAGAAATGAAACAGGACTACCAGTATCCACTGTTAGCTGAATAATCTGGTTATCTATTCGTACCATAGCCTTTAGTGACTTTACGCGGTTCAATGTTGGATCTCGAATAGAGTCTATTTTCTGAACTCTAACCACTTTTCCGTTTGTTTCTTTTCTCATCTCATTTATTCGATCTTTCACATATTTTGAAACTCGTTCATTTTCCGGTTGTTGAGTTTGTATCAACATGACTTCAAATTCACTACATGACCCAACACCTTCACTGATCTGGTCGCATTCCACTATCGATTCTTCCGAATCTTCCGCAATTTCACTTACTTGTTGTGATCTGCACATTTTAGCGAAATGATTTGGTTTACCACAGTTTTTACAGTCCTTTCCCATCGCTGGACAATTTTTTAGGTGTCCTTGTTCAAACGTCCTTCCACATCTATTACATGGTTTTGTTTTCGTGTTTTGATTTTTGTTATTATTCTGTCTGTTATTATTTTCTCTTCTATTTGGAGTTTTGGTTTTCCCCTCCAAATTTCGAACTGCCATAACAGGTTCCTGTTTTATTCTTACACCCGATGTGTAATTGCTACTTGATCCTCCTGCAGCCGCAGCATTAGTCTTTTGAAATGCCATTGTGGTTAACTTGCTATGTTCGAATTTTATAGCCCTTTTTAGAACTTCCTCTGGATCCAGAGTTTCGAATGTCAACGTGTCCTGTAATGTCATGTTCTTCATCTTCGAGATGAACAAGTCTCGCACTATTTCATTTTCCAATGTTCCTAGTTCTGATCGGGCTGCTTGAGCAGTTAACGCTGCGTGGAATGATTCTAGAGATTCTCCAGATTCTTGCATTCTCGTAAATAACTTGTATCTCTCGTATGTTACACATTTCACTTTTTGAAACGAGACTTCTGCCAACTCTGTTATTTCTCTGAACGTCATTTTCGATATTTCTGCGTGCGGATTCTTTTGTAGGAATCTTTTCTTTCCCTCAGTGCCCAAAGATAGAAATAGTCGTGACACCAGTTTCTTTTGTACTTCGTTGTAGAAGACATTGTGTCCGACTCGTGGGCCTCTTGTTCTTTTCTCTTCGTTCTCCAATGCTACTCTGTCTCTAGCTAGTTTATCTCTAAGAATTCTAGCGTTCCTCGCATCTTCGTTCTCCCCATCCCTGGGCGTTTCCGGGCGTGGTGGTGGTTCCTCTAATATGTCTTTTGGTTCTTCCAAAATAATCTCTGGGTTCACATTTTCTTTGACCGTAACCGCCATGAGAAATTGTTCGAACCAAATTTTAAATTGCCACGGAGGGTCTAGATTCGCTGATGCCCAAAATACCGGGATTCCCATATCCGTTCTGTTTTCTTGAGCTGCGAATCCTGCTGGCTGCGCCATGTGATATGCGTTGCGATATCAAATTGAAAACAAGTTGGAATTCAATACTGTATTCTGAAGATTGAATTTAGATTTTATCTTTTCTTTGTTTTCTTATGTACTGAGAGATAGATCATTGTTAAGTACTCTGATCTCTCACTTAGTCTCAGTGTCATCACTTATGTATGACCTTGAGCGTACCATAAAATAATGATTTAACACCAGAGGTTGGCTGTACATACGTATAATAAATACTGCTACTGCAGTAGCGGTATGACAGAACTAAATTGAAATTTGAATACGCAAACTTCAGGTTGTTTTGATATTTTTTTCATCTGCGGCAATTTTTCTTTGAATAAAATTAATATATTTGATATGTTCCGATATGTTCTATTTCGGACTCTTCAAAGAGATTAGGGTAAGTTTTAATAGCTACAAATATAAGGTAAAACTGCGTCGGGTAGAATAGAACATGGGGTATGATAATATAGTGCAGAATGACTCAGAGTAGATTGGAATAGACTAGAATGTCATGGAGTCGCACCGACCACAATGGGTGAAGAAATACACGAAGAGAGCTTTTATGAACTAAAACAAAACTGACTTTTGTAAAATCGTGATTTTTTGCTTAAGGGAGAATGAATAAGGTTTTAAACTTTAAGAATAAGAGGGTTATAATGGCTAAAAGAACGTAACACTTGTCAGAAATAATAAATTACTGTTGTTCGTTTATTAATATGAACGCAAAGAACAAAAACTTTGCATCATTCAGACCACTTTACCTACCCTTAAATGTCGTAAAACTAAATGACAGGAAGTCGTACTTTTCAATGCGATGTTGATTTGACTTCCGTTTTTCATGAAACCCAATATAAAAGCGCTTTCATCTTGTATTTTCAGGCCAAAAATTTCTAAGAAATCGGCTGATTTGCGCAAAAACTACACCTTAACTTCAAGCTTCCACCAAATTTCTTTTACTCGTGTTCAAGACTTTTGTTGTTTTTGATTAATTTCGAATTACTTTTCCTAGATATAGAACATTGATTTACTCGAAGGGGAATAAATTTACATAAAGGGAAAAACAGCTGTTCAATAAATCATTGTTTCAGGGTTTTATAGACCTGCCAGGTAATATCCGATTTGAATCACATACACAACACAAGACCTATTAGTTAAATCCCAAACAGAGGGATAATATTGTCTAATTTAGTGAAAAAGGCAACAAAAGATCCAATATTGATGTTTATGTACATCTCTTATCTTTCCCTGCAATATATTCAATCCCAGCTAATCGCGATGATGTCGATCTTCAAAGTTCTTGAGGGAGGAATGATAGGGCAGTGAAATTTATTGTATCGCCTCTTTACCAGATTTTGGGTAAACATATCTAAATTGGATCTGTGATTGCCTCCCAAATAAAGGACTCGGTTGACTTATTTGCAAATTTAACTGTGACCATCTTAAGACCTTCTGAGAGAAAACTAGACTAGAAAAAATGACTTTTCAAGTTGCCATCGTTCAGATTTTAATTACTGTCGCTATGTCATTGACTCTACTAAATGCGTCTCCTTTCGCAAATATGGAAAATCTGGACACCGACTCTCAAGTATGTAGACACCTTATTAAAACAATTTTCATTCTTTTCAGACTAGTAGCAAATCTGAAAACTATGCGAATTTTCACATCGCGTAACAAAAAAAATTCATGAAAAAAAAACAAAATATATGGCAAATTAAAACTTAGAACGGATTAAACTACTATAACCAAAAATTCGACGAAGATCAAGCCCCGAAACCTCAAGATCTTTTGCCAACTCACCAGCCCGAACTTTTGGAGCCAATATGCACTAAATTTGAGGGTAGGCGCACGCCCAAAAATTGCAATTTTTTGGTCAAAAAGTTTGAAAGCGTAACTATTTTTTGGTCAAAAAATTTGCAGCCTGTTTTTTTTCGAAGATTGCCTGAGGAAAATCAAATAGGCAATCTAAAAAGTCGACAATTTTTTTTTAATAGAAAATTCAAACCCGCCTCAAAAATTCCTGTACACGCCACTGGTTAGAAATCATGATTTTAGAGAAATCCAGAGACGAGCGCAGAAATTTTTCTAGGGAGGGGTGCGGATTTTTGAAAAACTTTGAAAAATGTTGCGACAAAACTTCCGGACCTTTTTTAGATCGACCAGTTTGATTTTCTGAGCTCTCCGAAAATATTCCGAAATTTACAGCACCGCAGGCAAGCTTTTCAAAAAACAGGGCCAAAAAAGGCGTTTTTAGGCACTTTTTAGAAAATTTTGACCAAAAAATTGAGTTTTTTTTTGGCGCGCGCTCCCCTCTCAAAATTAGTCATATTGGCGAAAATTTTGAGGTTGTTAAGCAAAAAATGGATGTTATAAAATTAAACCAAAGGGGAGACCCTTTGGAAAATTTTGGCAACCAGAATTGAGGGGGGGAGGGGGTCGAACCCCCCATCTCCCTCTCGGCACGCTACTGGGCAAATCGCAGTTTACATTATTGTCTTTTCACAAAAATCCTTCCAAAAAAAAGACAGAGTAAGCAGCAAATAATAAATTACAAAGCACAAGTATGCAAAAAAATAAAAAAATTCACAACGATGAAAATTGTTTGCTTATATTATCTGAGTTCGAGTAAATTGTTTGCTGTGAAACTTCTAACTCAGATAACAACATCAACAAACTATTTTCATCGTTGTGAACTTTTTTGGTTGAATGGTTTTTTATCGCACACTCACTGTTGTTATCAGAGAATCAAAATAAAGCAAGTGAGGCAATAAAGTCTCAACACTTTTAATTGCATACTTTTTAGTCTTAATAACGCGAATTTCAAATATATATCGCAGCGTTTTTTCAAAATTTACTAAAAAATATCGATTTTACAAACGCAATTGACCTTTACAATAGCTGAAATTTGGCAATTAGCTCGTCTGCTAGCCCGGAAAAAGTAGCAGTCTTAAACCCTATGCTTAACCGAAAATAAATAATCACTAGATGAATCGTTAGCTCAATACTGAGATTCGAATCGTTTCTTCGAAACTAAAAGTTAAGCACATTTGTTGTTCCATTTCCACTTGCTCTACTGGGTATCGCAGATCAAAATCAAACAAGAGCAATTGTTCTACTGGAGATCGCAGTTCAAAGCCAAACAGCCAGAAGAACAAAAACTGACGTCAAACCATTTGTTTTTCGAAGGAACATTTAATAAATTAAAAGACTAGATACGTCACATTTCATTTCGTTCATCAACACTCTAAGATCAAAAAATCACTTGGCGCAGCCATTGAAAAATTGCATTTAAAATAAACACATCAGTATGATATCTGTTTCAATTACGCACTGCTTTTCTTTGCGATTTCAAAAAAACGTCGTTAGAAAAAACTTAGCGATTTGAATCTCTAATATGATGTAATCCATAGTTATAATTATTCTTTAGAAGAAAAATTTCAAAAACGTCAAAACTCAATTGGTAAATACTTTGCCCAGACAATTGAAATGGTAAATAGTTTTCACTGACAATCGAAATAAATACTTCGCACTGACAATCGGAATGTCAAAAACGTCAAAACAAAATGCTAAATACTTCGCCCTGACAATCGATTATACCGTTTTTTAGCATTTATTCAATAAATGATATATGTTCACATAAAAACTTCAAAACATGTTTTTGAACGCAGCAAAAATAACAGCGAGACCAAAACGAGTAGATCTTTTTTCCCAAAATATGACTACAGCACTTAAAACAACTATGAAACGAACTTTTATTAAGAGCACTGCAATTCTGCAACCCGAACCGGACGAAATACCTTCAGCTTGAATAGCAATGGTTCAAAAATTTAGAAAACACTGAGCGTTGCGGCGCATCAGTATTTATGGTATCAGCAATCATATGACAGCGGGAACGAATTGAAAGAGCTCCTATTAGCAAGATGAGCTATTTAAAAATAACCATAGTTTAGTTAACCTTAAATAATTGACCTCCGAGTATTAGAAACAAACCCAGAACAGAATAGGAAAAATTTAACAGAACAAAAACAAAAAGACCAGTCCTTATCGTTATAGTTATCAAAGGCGAAACGGAGCTTCGCACCAGCGAAACAGGGCTTCGCACCACTTGCAACACTAAACAAACAAAAAATGCAAGCTAGCAGAAAGAAACAAATGGGAATTAACCGTACAATCCCCCCCCAAAAAAAAATGATTTAAGGCGGAGAAAAAAATGGATTTTTCATAAGCTAACTTTAAGTTTAGCCTAGATTCGTTCAAAATTAATCGTATTACTAAAGAAAATAGAATTGAAACATTAATTTGTGTAATTAATAGCATACAAATGCAATCCCGGATAAAAAATGTACAAACCAATTGTATTTACGCGTTTGTATGAAATGCATACTTTATACAGAATTAAATTTCAGAATTTATACATGCTTGGCGAGGACAGGTACTACTATGATAGAGTGGTCCCTCGAAAAAGCAACTATGATAGCCAGGTCCCGCATGCATTTCGAATTTTATAATTTTGAAAACTAGTTTGTTTATAAATTATTCATTTCAAAAATCAGGCGAAACATGTTGAGTCAGAAACCTTTCAGATAAAAAAAATAAAACTACTATAGTTTTTATATCAAGAAATATGCTCGCTTCAACTTATTTTACGGTTTAAAAACCATACTTGGATTGGCTTATTTGTCATCAAAATTCAGTTTTGGCATTTTTTTTTTCCAATTTACTACCTTAATATGTTAAGAGGGGAGGTTTTACGAAACAAAGAAAATTTATTTGAAAATATACTGCGACATCTTTCTGAATGGCAAAATCATAATTGCTAAACATTTCAGAGACCTATGTAACTTATTCGCAAGGTACCTGGTTATTTTAAAGGGACCACTCTATCATAGTAGTACCGGAGGGCATTCTACGGTAGGTCACTTAGGGGAGTTGGGGAGATTGTACGCTTGATCCAAACATTGAAACAATTAAGTAAAATAAAACAACAGAAAAATGTCAAAAAAATCAAATCTTCGAATGCGTTCAATTTGAGGAAATTATGAACAGCAACACAACCGCCGATGTTGAATATGTATTCAAAATCAAAATATTTATCGGGAGGCATCTACCCCGAATCGATTAGTTAAACACCCGTTGAGCCGCAAACAAAGAAATGTTGTCATCGAAAAACTTTGAGCTTTTTACATCCTTCCCTTAATGGAAACACAAAATGATTTAAAAAAACTAGTTGGCTTTAAACGGAGACAAAATTAGGTCACTAAGCCGATAAAACGTAAGCAGAAACAATTTAGTCCTAACAAATCTTTCAAGTCGAACAAAAAATTATGCTAAGTCAGAGTTTGTAACTTTACAGATTACAGAAAATAATCAAAAACTCTTTCAACTGCTTTGGAAAAGGCTCATTGTACTAGCAAATCTGGTGATATGGCAATTGAGCTGATAAAAATTAAGCAGACAAAGTTAAGCAGATAACTTGTTGAAACTTGAATTTTTTTCAGTTGAAAAAAATATGATAAATTAGTTGCTTTAACTTTTAAGCATTAAACATTGTATTTTATTTGGAGCTCTTTAAGCGGCACTTTCCTAAGAATTTGGGTATAAATTTAATGGTCTAAAATTTATGTATGGTGCCCCTCAAGGCCCCCTACCCTAATTCGATTTGGTGATATAAGACAACAGGTGATAATTTTGAGTACAGTGCATGTATTGAATTTGAGAACTATAACGCATAATATAGTTATTTAATTTTCAATCAATTGTACATGCTATCAAGATAGATTTAGTGAATACATTTTTCTGCCAGATGAAATGTTACTCAAAAATTCAAAATTTAATTCTTTTGCGAAAAAATTTGGCTTTTGAAAAAAAATAAATACTGTTTGAAGTATAACAAAAACCACCTATTGTGATATATCATCGTCGATTTACGTATAAAACTTTAAGCCGAATCAAAAGTGAGAATAGAAGCCGGGGAAAAACATTTATATCAAGATTTCCATTGAAACCTTTCATTGACGTTCTCTTTTTATGTTTTATGACCAGAAATTGGAACAGAAAGTCAAACACAAAAATAACGTGATCTAACTGACAGAATCAAAAATGACACCTATCAAGCCAAAAAAGTTATAAAAGAATAATTTGAAAAAAAGTATAGTACCCAGTTGTATAGTACAGAAAGTACAGAACAGCATTTTAACAGTTTTGAATCCTTCATTCTTCAGGCTTAATTACACTAAAAAGCAATAAATACGCGCCGTTAATCTCGATTTTGATTAATGAAAAACCAAGCACAATCGAAGAGATGTCTCTGGTTTCTAAGATGTTTTTTTTCCAGAACTTTCGGGTCAAATTCTTACAAAAAAGATCTATCATGAAAAAAACTACTAGAAATAATGACATTGCTTCTCAAAACGAAGTCATTTGAAATCCAGGTATAAACTTCCGTCCAGTGCTCCCTTAACCAAAACTTTTCATGCTTTTTTAGAAGTCTATTCTACTAGTACCCTTTTACTCGAGTGTACCACTGCACAATGGCGGCGAAGTAAACATGGGGGTGCAGCCAGAAGAGTCAGCACGTGATCAAAGAGCACTGGTGGGGGGCAGGGGCAAGAGAATTCAACTGTGCAACCAATCCATCTTCTCCTTCTCCAAGTCAAAGTGTGTTTGAATTTTGACCTGCCTCTAAACTGTCAATTTGCAATACTCAAATTATATTTTGACTTGTAAATTTCATTTTTTGCGAGAAAATAAAAATTCAAAAACATCTCTAATCACAGCAATCATTTCTTCGTAAATTCGTTTCACCGGGTTGTTGGCCTTAACAATTTTCTGTAACCTCGATATCAAATCTTCGTCTGAAACATTTTCTGCATTGAAGTCACTTCTATTTGAACTACTTCGTGACGATTTTTCAAAATTGATGCCTTCTACTTCGCCACTATAGTCTGGGTCCTCTTTTGCAAACACCTCTAAAATCGCTCTCTGATTGGATGAAACCCGACTGGGCGATTTAACGACTAGTTCTATCAGGTGATCGCCTTTGCCGTAAGAGTTTTGTCTCTTGATTCCCTCGCCTTTCATCCTGATAGTTTGGTGAGATGAGGAGCCTCTCGGAATGATCACTTTGAGATGTCGATAGAGACCCTGCGTCGTGACATGTCCACCCAGAACTGCCTGCGGTATGCTGATCTGCAGCTTGCTTCTCACATCCGAGCCATCCCGAGCGAAAATGGCACTGGGAGCGATTCTAATAGTCACGTGGTACTCCTGGTTCCCCTGTTGGAGTCTCATCACATGACCGTCCTCGATACCCGGTGGCACCTAAAATGTCGTTTATCAAAATGAAGGGTATGTTCTAAGAGGAGATACTACTGTAGCAGAAAGAAAAGTAAAAATCTAAAAATTTCACAAGCATTTAAATAAATTAATTCAAAACGCATTAATTGAAGTTTATTAGATTATATTAAATCGGCCATAAAAATTGACAGGCAGTCTTTTCCAACTCGTAAATAGAATATCACAAAAAGAGTTGACAAAAAAGTTTAAATATTTTTTGTAGGGACGAAGCAGAGCTTTGCGCCTGTAACGATACATCACAAATAGACCATGACAATCGCTAGCCAAACATGAGACGATAGTCACAAAGTCAAAAAAACGGGTTTAAAAAACGGGTTTAAACCGGGGCCGTTTTTAGTCAAAAAAACGGTCCCGGTGGAACGAACAAAAATTTAAACTCGAACTTCATAAGTCTCTCGCCTCAAATTCCACTTAAACAAGAAAACCTATTTTCACTTTACTAACGATGCAAAAGTTAGGCAAACAACATAAGCCTGAACCTTTTAAAGCGAATAAACCTTTCGAAAAAGATTAATTTATCTACAACTTTCATAAATAAAACTCGATAAGAACGGTTATTTAAACAAGGACGCTCAAAGTAAGTCTGTTAGAAAGCATGTCCTTTAGGTTCCAAGGCCCCAGAGGAGATAAGAGTCCTGTGAACAGTTCTAAAGGAAAACATAGTCAATAAACAGTTGGAAAACTGTCAACGAACGCAACAAAACAGAAAAAAATACTGCATTTTAAATTAAAAATTCAACTTTCGAATTTCGGAGAATGCCTTTAAAGCTCTTCGAACTTCCAAAACAATTGATGATTGACCACTTTTTTTTTTACAAAATTACTTTAATTTGAGAAAACTGGATCAACGGTTAGTTTTTTGTTCCGCTGGGAATTTACAAGAGTTTAAAAAGTTTCCAAACAAGAAGTGGTTTACGTATTTCGTGACCTTTACACTCTTGCTGTTCCATAAGGGAGCTTGTCTTCCTTTTAACCAAAATTAACACAACCTTGAAAAAAAGGCAAACCGCAAAAAATCCAATTTGAGCGTAAACGAAATTTGCAACTTTTTCAGGAAAAACAGCAGAAGTACAAGGATAAACAAAAGACCAAAATCAGCCTTTAAAAAAGACAACAATTTAGCCAAAAAAGACAATAAATAGCAGCATTTATTGCCCGTTGAACGTGAATATAGCCCAATGCTATTCTGAATCTCTAAATAGTGACCAAGTCACACAGAAATTTAATTGAGATTGTACAAACAAACAAGCCGCATACATTGAAAAAAAACGACGCGTAGAAACTATTATACCAAACTTCTCCTATATTTGTGCCAAAGGAAAACTCGCAGAGGACAAAAAAACGTTTATGAAGCAATTGAGTCGATGAGTTGAAAGCAAAGCTAACAAATCGAAAGAAATTATAGCAACAAAACCAGTCATTATTTTGCTTTTGAATCTTCAAATTTAATTTATAATGAAATAAATTTATATTATCCCGCGCTTACGCACGTTTCATACTAAGACGATTGAAACCTTGTAGAAAGAGGCAGTTCAGATGATAAGCAGAAAAAAATTCCGCCATACTAGCAAATCTTCAAAAAACAACATTCTGAAAATTTTGAAAGAATGGCAATGACATTTTAGTAACGAATAAGCGAAATTTATCGCGCGGCAACTAAGCCAAAATGTCTCGGTAGACAACAGTTAAAACAAAAACGTGTGTTATAAAAAAAAGTGACCGAAGAAAATTTGAAAATGGAAGTTTTACATCTAGTCCGATGCACACAAACGCATAAACTCTACTTTCGCCTTCTTCAGGAAGCAATATGAGGCGATTAAGCTGATGTAGCTCCAGAAGTGCCGCCTTCAAGTGGCGGACTCAACAGGCATAAACAACTCTCCGTGAATGGCACAAATACGACCTCCAATCAAGTTTACAAAACGAAACCGTCCTAACCGGGTTCCAATTCGAAGGCCAAAAGCGCCATAGAAAACGTGGAATTTGAATTTACATTAAATTATGATTTTGTAACAGACAACATATTTACATGCAAAAAGACCATGTGCCGATTTCATAACGCTTGCCTACGGCAAAAGCAAAAATATTTAAGGTGCCTTTCTTCAATGAAATTTTAGCTGTTCATCCGCACTTGGCATTAATTTTTGAAAATTTTTGGCAATGTGGCGCATCGGTAGTGATGGTGCCCAGCAATCATATGACTGCGGGTTCAAATCGCACGCGCGCTGCAATTTACAAGGTGAGCTCTTGTAAGATAGCGATAGCTGACCAGCTTAGTTAACCATCGTCGAGATAGTTTCAGTATGACACTCCACTCAACCTGACTTACATTTTAGTGTCCTTATTTACATTGACAACAGGATTCCACATTCATAAACACATTATTTACCTTAAACACAACGACGAAGCAAACTTCGCACCACTTACTATTCAGAAAATCACGTGAATTGTAGAGAAAAACACGTGAATTGTAGAGAAAAACATATTGTAGAGAGTTTCGCATTTAATTTTCAACTTTTCAGCAAGAAGATATCCAAAGAAAACTATACAAACAAAGTTCAATCTTATTCGCATGGATGATTTTCGTTTTCGTTCAAATCAGTCGTAAATATCTAAATATGCAAAATTTATATATTTTGGAGAAGACAAGCTAAATTACGTCTAAGAGATTTCAACATATCTACAAAATGAAAAAAAACGCCGGTCTCAAACAAAGAAGATATTGGGAAAATAAACACCAGAACATGGCCAATCGAAGATTGGAAAAGAGCAAGGAACGCATGTAAACATGAAAAAAAATTGACTGTGCTGAAAAAATCTCAACTTTCGAAGTTCAAAAAAAAGATACCCTTTAAGCTCTGTGAATTTCTAAAACGATTCATGATTGGCGCTTTTCTGATAATTCTAACCCAACTTGAGAAAACTGGATCAACAAGTAAAGTTTTTATTCCGCTGGAAACCTATAAATTAAATTCCACTTTCGAAACTAGAAATCGTTCACGTTTTTTTTTGCGTCAGTTCCACGTTCGTATTTGAAGTGATATTTATGTCACTTCCAGCATATGAAATTCAATTGAACTCAACAAAAGCATACATAAATGCATCAATATGTATGGATGCACATCTGTAGTTATTAGAGCATTTTAAGACTTTTTCCTGAGAACAAAAAATCACCAAGACCTTAACTGAAATCGGTAACTTGAGTAGTTTTGCATTTTGAAAAAGTTTTTTGATCAAAATCAATGAAATATACATAGAAAGCAGATTAGTGAACTACTACTACAAAAAAGTGAAACTGGAAATGAAATGTATGATAAAATATATACAGAATGAACAATCAACTATATACAAAAAAATGTTTTCATGCAAAAAAACTTGTCAAAAAAATTGCAGAAGCTAACACTGATATTAGATCATTTTATACTTGCTAAATTTCAATCTATCGTTAAGAACAGTAATCATTCCAAGCACTAAAAACTAGAACGCAAAAAATCAAGACAAGTAGGCGAAGCGGAGCTTCGCAACCCTTGTGGTGCAGAAAAAAACTAAAAAACAAAGTTGAAAAAATTACTTGGAAAAATAACTTGAAAACTTGAAAAAGATACAAAAACTTCATGGTTGTATTAAGAAAATTTTATAAACAGCCTGAAAAAAAATTGAAAATTAACTAAGGAACGGCAACAAAAACTGGGTCAAAACATGTTTGCGCCGCACATAATACTGTTGTCATAAAAAGTTTTGTCAAGTTTTAAAACTTTTTACGACCCATCCAATCTGAAACACATAATCGCATGCGAATATATGTGCCCTCAAAGTTATGCAACATAAGTTAACTGAGCCGAAACAGCATAAATTAAAGCTGTTGAAATATTTTAAAATGAAACGAAAAAAAAATTGCCCAAAATCAGACTTGGTAATTTACAAATTACTCAACTTTGAGTTATAGTAGAAAAAAAACTAATTAAATTGAAAAAAAAAAACAAATGCTTTAGAAAGTAAGCCAATAGAAACCTTGCCAGATAAAAAATGGCGTTTAAATGAATCGACAGAAACTAGGGCGAAAACCACGAGCCCAAAAGAAAATTGAGAAACTTTTAAAAAATAATTGCAACCTGAAATGGGCTTTATCTAATTAATACTCAAAATGTAGTAGTTTAATTTGAATTTTCAAGAAACTGAGCATGTCTAAGAGATAAAATGATGATTCCTATGCTCACAGTTGATTACGGGAAAAATATCTAGTACCCGAATGCAAAACCCTTGCTTGGGTAATAAAATATTAGTTAACTTAAAAAAAATGATGAAAAAATTCGAATAAGGCGCGCAAAAACTCATAAAATCCTTTACTTGAACAATCAGCTATATTCATTAAAAAGTTTATGAATATCAAAAACTATTTTTGATATTCATAAACTTTTGAGAAAATCAAAAAGAACATTTTTAGCATTTAGTTTTAAAAACTTGAGATATCAAATTTGATTTTGCGTTATCAAAATTTTAGCATCAGAGTTTTAAAAAATCTCGACTGAAAAAAAACGGGAATTATTAGAAAAAAAACATTAGATAAATAAGCCGATAGAATCAAAGCCGATACACAATAAATAGAAAAATTGACCAAAAGTGATCGGCAAATAGAGAACTAACGGTAAGAACTTGCAAGTACCTCGTACACAGCATCCAGGCGCGCTATATAGTTGTTACATACAAAGCGGTACATAAAGGTAATTTTTAGACAGCAAGACAGCCAAACAAACAGAATTTTGAAGCATTTTCATATTTAACACAGGCGAAGCAAGAAATAGCTCTAAAAAGCCAAAAATAAAGTAAAACGAGAAAAAAGGTAAAAACAAATCTTTAAAAGTAAAATTTTTTCCTGTGTACTGGAATCAAACCCTCCGACCTGGAGACTAGGAGTTTCACGTCCTATCTTCTACACCACAATCGCTCGGAAATAAACTAACACTAGCCATCAATAAAGCCAAAACAGATGCTGTTAAATAGCCTATCGTTAAAAAAATACTAAAGTACCACCAATGAGAAAAATACCAAAGTGCCACATTGCAATTATAATCGAGTCAAAAATTGAGCTACTAGAAGCCCTGGCAGAGCTAAAATTTTCGACTCAGTGTGGGGAAAAATGTTGACACCTATAACTTGCCGCTTCGCTTGAAAAATGAAATACTAGAATTTAACAGTCGCTGAATTTCGATATCTTTATAATTGATGACAGATGGAATGATTTCTCGGGGTAAAAACAATTCAGCGTAAGAAATAAAAAGTTTCTTCTAAGTGGTCAGTGATGCCAAATTTTAAGCTATATAAGTGCGAATTTCGGCATGAAAATTTTAGCAAAAATTAATCGATATATTTTTCTCTCAACTTCGAACAAAAAATAAACCAAGAAACAGCCAAACTCAATTTTTCGCCTAATCACTAATGAAAAAAAGCAATAACTTGCTATACTTCCTATATTACAACTCTTACTTAAATCATAGAAGCTTTAAATGAGCATTGTAGAAGAAGGACAATGATGCTTCTATAAGAATCACCAATTTCTTATTTGTTAAAGACCTATTTTTGGCGCACCTTAATGTCAACATTCCGCTGTATATTAGTGTATCCCTGACCATTACAAGTAGGACAACCAGAGACTTCACCTCCGGAACCACCGCATTTAGAGCAGGTGCTGTGCACTTGCATCCCGCCAAATCGTCTCAAAATCTGCCCGGATCCATTACATGTACTACAACTGCGTCCAGAAGCAACGGCTCCTCTACCTCCGCATGTACTACATGAAGCCGCCTCGTCAATCTGGAAACTCTTCGTGACTCCTTGGACTGCTTCCAGAAAATCAACAGTGAGTTGATAGTGTTTTGGTTCGTTGTACATTGCATTTATAATCGAGTCAAAAATTGAGCTACCAGAAGCCCTGGCAGAGCCAAAATTTCCAAATACAGAGCGAAATAACTCTTCAGGATCCATTGATGAAGTGTAACTCCAAGAGTAATTTTGGTCGATGGGACCGCGAGTGGATGTCTTGAAGCCTGATTTTGATGCAGATGGTCCATAGGAAGAACCCGAAGACCTCGTGGATCCATAAGAATCAAACTGTCTGCGTTTGTTTGAGTCACTAAGCACTTCATACGCTTCCGAAATCTACAATAGAATATAATTTTTGTTAATATGTGAAGAAAATTTGGTCAAACCTCGACAAGCAACATGATATGACTAACGGGTATGGAAAAAGAAATGATATGTTTCTTGACCTTTAAGTTGCGCCAAAAACTTTTATTTGAGCGAAATAACAAAAACATTAAATAAAAGGTTAAAGAATGTCCAATTGCAAAAACTATAAGTACTAAACCGGGCGTTGGGTTAGTTTTTCCGCAAGACTAGCGTGTAATTCACCTCCGGTGCTTCGAATTCATGAAAAAAGCGACAAATAATGAAAAAAAGATCTGCAATCTTTAAGTGTATTCTGACAGCACCCAAAAACAGGGCTCGTTATTTCAAATTTTGCAAAGATTTTTTCTATGAGTTGTTTTAATTCAAATTTTGAAAAAACCAATAAATTTTCATTTTTAACTCTTTGAAAAATTTCAAAATGACATAAAAACGACACATCTTAGAAACAAAAAGCATTTGAGCAGTTGCGTTTGATGCTAAACTTGTAACTCCTGAGAGTACTCTCAAAGTACCAAACAACATGTTAGGAATTTCAAACTTCGAGAAAAATTTAAAATTTAAGTTTTGAAAAAAGCCATAAAAATGTCGCATCTCGAAAAATCAAAGACTTCATAAAGGTGAAGGCGAGATTTGCAACCCTCTGGAGTGTTCCGACAGCACCTAAATAAAGGCTTGGATAATTCAAAACTTGAAAAAAAAAAAATTCAAGTTTTCTGAAAAATTTTTGAAACAAAAAATCGAATATGCCTTATCTCGAAAACTACAAAGATTTGAGCAGCCAAGTTTGAGGCAAATTTTTCAACCACTGAAACATCACTGACAGCCCCCATTACAAGGAAGGGGGTTTCAAATTTAAATTAAAAATTGAAAAAAAAACTTTAAATTTAACTTTGCTGAAAATTTTTTGAAGAATCTTAAAAAACGTCATATCTCGAAAACTTAAAAGATTTAAGTAGTCATATCTGAAGCAAACTTTGACAGCTTGCAACTTAGGGATTGGGAATTTTAAAGTTTGAAAAATGAATAAAATTTTGAAATAAAATTTTGTTTTCTGTAATTTTTTTTTGAAAACTCCCAAAAAACGTCATATCTAGATAACCAATAGCATTTTAGCAGTCGCACTTGAACGCAAGATTTGGATCTTGAAACTTCTGCGGGTTCTCTCGTAGTGCCCAACTACAAGATAACGGATTTCAAGTTTTTAAAATCTAAGCTTTCTGAAAAATTCAAAAGAAATCATTAAACACGTCATATCTCGAAAACTACAGAATGTGAGAAGTCATATTTGCAGGCAAGATTCGCAATCCTTGAGAGTAATCTGACAGCACCCAACTACAGGGTTGAAAAATTCAAATTTTCTAAATTAATTCGTAAATTGAGCTTACTGAAAAATTTTGAAAAAAAAAACATAAAAATCGTCGTATCTCGTACACTAAAAAGATTTGGGCATTCATTTTGGAGACCAAATTCGCAACCCTGGGGGAACTCTGGCAGCATCCTACTATTGTGTTGTTAACTTTTAACTCGGTGGAACAAACATCAGATTCAAACTGGAAAATTGAAAAAAAAAAACCTTAAGCAATGCAATATACGATATAGCCTAACCACGCATCGATACGTTATGCCCTTAACTGTTGCAATAAAACGCTGAAACATGTCAAGATACGTGTCACACGCACTTAAATATAGTATAGATAGATAGATTTAGGATACCTTAAGTTACGGTTGTACGGGGGTGTTGAACCGCAAATATAAACGCAAATGTGCGAGAGTATAAAGGCATAAAATTGAACCAAAATGTAACAACCATAAGCACAGTTGGCCAAGCGGACTAAGACAAAGTAACGTAACATAACAGTTGACGTAGGTTCGAGTCCCCCACCTGCCCATGTATTAATATACTGAAAAAGGGGGTTATATCCTATTTTAACTGTTTTTATATTCTAATTCGGTTCAGCCTTGATTAAGGCTGACCGCTAAAAAAGAGCAATTTGTCTCAAGGACATTACCGACCGGTTCTTGTGGCTAGCTTGCGCCAATTTCTTATTAAAGCTGTGAATTGGTGACGAATATTATTGAAGTTATTGAAGTTATACCCGACCGAAAGGACGAGAAATTTGCCGATAAATTCTCTCGTTAAATTCAAATATTCGACTTCATATTTTTGATTTACGGAGATTAGGCGCACATTTTGGCGCCCCACAAGGGACCGTTAATCTATTAACGAGGGGAGTCACGAAGTCGGTCCAGCAACACAAGAGATACGATTAATATTCGAGTCAAATAGCAGAGAACTCAGTGAACAGGGGATAAAATTGACTGCGTTTGATGGCATCCCGGTGACTTTATTTGACGAAGGTAAACGAATACGAATCTCTTCCCAGAATTCTCTGTCAGCGAACATAGAGAAATTCCATTCCCTCCCCCCCCCCCCCCCCCTCCCCCCCACAATACAAAGTGCTCAAATTTCATAAACAGACGAGTGAGGACAGCGTTGTTCGATTCCAGTCGATAGCAATCACGAACGACATTATATCAGCCGATATAAATCACGAGCACCAAAATGGCGACAACAGCCGAAGCAGCTTCGGGATCATCAATCGGGTTCTCAGAAATCTAGTCGTTATACCGCCGCTCCGTCGAAAACACTTTTTGAGAAAAAGCGCGACTTAATGATTTTAAAGAAACAACAAGAGGAACTTGAGAGGCAGGCAAAGGTATCATTAAGACTGAAAGAGCAGCAAAACAAGATGAAACAATATGTTTTAGAACAACAAAGCAGTTTAGAGTTGGAAGAATTGGCTGAAGTACACAGGAAAAAACTGGCAGAAATTGAGTTGAAAGGGCTTGAAATAGAAGATGAGTAGTCGGAAATCAGCGAGAATGCTGAGGAAAGTGGTTTAACTCGAATCTCTCCACAACTAACAATAGACGAAAAGGATCATACGCGTCACTCGGTCGAATCTGTCGACCACAATCATCCTGATGCTGTGGTAGTTCCCAATCAAGAGCAGCACGTTCGTTCAACAGCTCCTGAGGCAACTTATCCTGCATCAACAAATTACTTGGTCTCATCAAGTTTTACAGGAGTGAATAATGGCCAGGCAGCTTCTAGTGATCCGGGATTGTATTACAGTAACCACATTCACGGACAACAACATAATTTGTCGAATTTGGTTCGATCGCAGGTTTCCGTTAACAATCCAGTAGGGTTACAGCAGGTCATTCAACCTGTTTCTAATAATTTGCCTAAGCAAACTTTTCTGTCCACTCATCCGGTGCTAGGCAATCCAAACACAGGTTCAGTAGTCCCGGTAACTTCTGAAAACTATTTTGCTCCACCAACATCTGCAGAAGTTCCTTCTGGTGTAGCACCGTTCGTTCCTGCATCAACAGCAGTTAATCAGGTTTCTTTAAATCATCACACTACAGGATCAGTAGTAGCTGGCTACCGAGCACCTGTAATCCCATCACAACAACATATGGGTGTTCCCGCTAGTAGTTATAACTTTTCAAGTGACCACTATAATCCTTATAGTAATTTGTGGAGACCAGCTGTTGCTGCCCCTTTAATGTCAGCTCAACAACACTACGTTCCTTCGACAACTGTTTTTTCCGCAGTAACTCCGATTGTTCCTACGAATAATTTTGTTCCTTATACAAGTGGAGGGACTGTGTTCTTTGCACAGCCTGAAATCTCTTCACATGCTAATCAACCGTTCGTTCCTGATTGTCACGGTAACTCTTCGAGTTACACAGAGCCAACTCCCGGTGATTCACCTGGTGCAGACGTCGAGCGTCCAATTTCGACACGAGAGTTGGTTAATATACTCATGCACAGCCGAAAAGATCATCTCCCTGAGTGGAAGCTGACCCAGTTCGATGGCAACCCACTTAATTGGCATGAGTGGTTTGGGCAGTTCATATCGACGGTCGATTCAGCCATACTCAGTGACGATGAAAAGCTTACCTATCTGAAAACGCTCGTAGTGGGTAAAGCAAAATCCGCAATCGCTGAGTAAAGCTATAGCGGAGTGCTATATAAAGACGCATTAGCAACTCTTCAAAGAAAGTTCGGGCAGCCGCATGCTGTAGTAGGGGCTCATCTAGATAAATTGAGTAATTTTCCGCCGCTGAAAATGCATAACTCGGAAAATGTAATTAGCGTTTCCTCTACAATTTCTGGACTTGTTGCCGTATTCAAGTCTTTATCTTTTAACGATGACCTGAAAAGTGTTAACTTACTGAATCGGGCTGTGAGTAAGCTTCCACCAAACCTTAAGGAAGCATGGTCAATGCAAACCGTAAGACGCCAGTGGCATCGACCAACTCTGCTAGATTTCAACGAATGGCTTAAAGAAAAAGCGGAGGGTCATGAGAGGCTAAAAACAATTAATTTTAAGGTTAAGTCTGAAGAACCAGTGAAGCAAAAAGTAGGTACGAAAGTGTTTGCTAGTAATGCAAAGGTTAGTGATAAGACTAAGGAAAAACCAAAGTTCCCTCCATGTTCTGTATGTAAAGGTCAACACGCTCTTTGGAATTGCGCCGTATTCAAAGAGAAAACCGCTACGCAGCGAGCGAAACATGTAGCAGAACAGAAACTTTGCTTTGCGTGTTTACAGAGCAATCACAATTTTCGTAATTGTAGCAGGGCCAGAAAGTGCCCCAAGCCAGATTGTGAAAGCACGCACAACGGGCTCTTGCATGGAGCTGAGAAAATTGTTCCTCCTAAGGATACTAAAAGTTCCCCGGCGTCAGGTAACGCAAACACTAAACATGTATCGACTAACGCTGCCGTCGGCGATATTCATAGCCAGGAGTCAACTAAAGGCCTCCTGCCAGTTGCATCACTCGCCGTCTCTTCGGATGCGACAATTACTAATGCCCTAGCTCTTTGCGATAGTGCTTCCACGCACTCATGGGTATCCGCCGATCTCGCAAAAGGCCTCCATTTGGTTGGCACTCCCGTT